ATGTTTTTTTTTTTTTTTTTTTTTTTTAACGTCTTGCGTTACGTTTAATAATGCAGCACATAAAAAGTGGCATGTATTATCGAGAAAGCATTTAGATATTTTATTAAAAAAAGTATAGTATCACATTCAAAATATAATATCTGATAGAAAATTGTTGCATTGTTGAAACGAACGATTTCTTGTTCGCACTGCCAGAAGGATAAGCTTATTATAATGTGGAAATAATGCATTCGATTTAGTAAAATGCCGAGGTCAATTGAACCCGATTAATCCAAAGTAGAAAGTTTTGCGATTATTATATAATTAGTCTGAGCGATTAACGCGAATTTTCACGAAGTCGCGTTGGCTTACCCATTGCGAAACGTCCCGCGTCCGTTCAAACTGGTTTACTCGCTAACTCGTTCACTCGGACTGTTTATTTATTCGGAGCTCAAAATAAATACGCAAATATCAAATAATAATCCTTTTCTCTTTGCCGCCATGTGTGTCGCATCGCAACGCTTCACGAGTCATTTTCTTCACAGGTGTTCGGTGCACTGACCTCGTGCTCTCTGCATGTGAGCGATCACTTTTACGGTACCGGCGAGTCCCTGCTCTTCAGGTTTACACCGAGGTTCCAATGTTTCAATTGGACCGGGGACAACCTGTATTTCATCAAGGGCAACAACGAGAGTTTAGCAATTGGCGCCGGAGAGTAAGTTTCTCTCTCATTTTTCACAAAAGAACCGGCTGTTCGGTTGCTGCCGAATAGAAAATCTTACAAAAATTAATCGTTTTTCAGTGGCAAGTTTGGACTCTGGCTGGATGGCGATCTGTATCAAGGCAGGACACAATCCTGCAGCACATACAGCAACGAACCGTTGGCGCCGCGCGAAGACTTCGTCGTCAAGACGTTGGAATGTTGGGCGTTCATATAGGACATGGCCTCGTATCCCCAGCCTGTCGCTCTTTCGCCATCACCGCAGCCTAATTTAACCTGAACTCGTGAGCACCACGAAGGTGTTTTATCCCCAGGAGAGATTAGAGGAAGACTAACGATTCTAAGGACATTGTCGGAGAAAAGTTGAGCCGTGTCGACGTTGTCATGACACTAATTTAATTCGATTGTCATTTGGGAAAATCTCGCCCAGTGTGGGACAAAGGAGAAAGATTCTCCAAGGAGAAAGAAATGAATCAATGTCCGCACGAAGAGACAACGATGGCAATGCCTGAAGATGGTGAGATCGACGAGAAGCAGCCTCGAAAGGGATGCGGACGGTAAAAAAAGAGACTGTCGTGGCCCGAAGTTATGCGATCATAACGCATGCTGTAACATAGCTACTTGCGTATCGCGTAGCTGATTATCATTAATTGCCTCCGACTTCCCTGTCTTTTTTTTTTAAGTTGGCGTATTTATTTTATTTTATTTTTTTTTTATATTCTGTTGAACGAGATCGTCGTCAATTTGATTTGCAGTTATTTGCGAGTTAATCGAGAGTCGAAGAATTAAGATTACTTCGTATGATTGTCGTTACTTCGTACTAGTCGTGAGTTTATGACACATCTAATCGCTGATGTAAAGGTAATAATGATAATGATGATAATGATAATGCAGATGATTGTAATAATGAAGATGGAAGATAAAAGAATGAAAGTGTGAATGATTGGAAATGATGTGGATGTTAAATGAAAGGCGAGATACATAACGTTTGGAAGAAAATAATTTACAAATTCAATACGATGAAGATGCTAAAACTAACAGTTTGTTGATGTGTAGATAATGTAGATAGTAAATGTAAATATATACATATATATATACATATATATATACATATATATACTATATGATCGTGTTGCAATGATTGATTTTGATGGTATAAGCAGAGAGAACTCTTTGCGGAACGCTGTGTAGCTCGTCATGTATATGTGTATGTATAATGCGGACATTTATTGATCCAAAAAATGTACACGACACGTATATACGTTGCATACACATGAGGATTGACACACAGATTACGGGAAGCGTGCTCTCGCGCAACCGAATGTAATGATCTATGATCTGAGAAAAAAAAAACGTAGTTTTTAGAGAAAGAGATACCTCGAGCTGATCTTACAATTAGAGAAAAGGAACGAGGAGAAGTCGGACGAGAAGTCAATGATACACCGATTGAATCGAGTTGGAATCGTATTCGCGAATCTTGTCGTCAGTAAATTGTAGTAGATGTGCTTTTGGAGTCACGAGTGACCACAACGAACGCAACATGCCTGTGCCTGCTTCGCTCTCTTTGTCTCCCTACGCCAAGTGTACACGCGATGTGAAGCGAATATTTCGAGCGTGAATCCATCTTACTACCAGCATACGAGTTCCCCAAATGCAAACGATCGATCACTCTTAGATAACGCGTCGAACGGACGAAGAATCGTCGCTATTCTAACTCGCGTTTCGATGCTCTTTTAGACCTAGTCCAACTTTGTATGACCGTATTACACACAATCATACACTGTCCGAGCTTATAATCTCTATCGCACGAGCGTCGCTCAGAAACTTAAAACCTATCTCTATCTACCTATCTCTATTTAGTGCACCTCGATGATTTAAAACAAAAGAGAGTGAGAAAGATAAAAAAAAATGTGTACAAGGCAAGCAGTTCTCAAACGCAGAATAAAGGGGAAAGGAAAAATACGCAAAAGCGTCTTACCAACTGCCTCGGGATTGCACGAATTTTTCTAGCATATTAAGTTACGAACTGAGTTGTGCTGAGTTACAATCGTTTGAGAAGGGCCCACTTTGCCGCGTGCCACTGAACCTACAATCTCAAACGAATCACACGTTTTATACTACGTAGACCTAATGACGATACCGCCATGTATCTCTCTCCTCCCCATAATTACTTTAGATACAAGATTTCTACTCCTCGATCACGCGTTGTATTCTACATGCGATTTCGGATCTTCATATTCTTAACGAAGGCGTTCCACTGTCTCGATCGATTGCCGATCAACAGGGGCGCATAGGACGACCAAGAGTGCTTATTATACTAACGATAACACAAACACATGCGAACACAATAAGACACATGCAGAAAACTTTTGATCTACTTTTTACCTATTTCTCTCTCTCTCTCTCTGAGTCGGAGA